ATGTTGATGCCTTCCTACTTCTGGCTGCAGCTTCCTTTCATTGCTGGATGAAGAGAAACAACTGGCATTTCCTTGAAGAGCTATCAGGCTTGTAAACAATTTCATGAAATCCTGAAATAGTTATAAATTTGTGTTTACACTTGAGTCTTCCTCAGCCTTCTCCCCTTCCATCTCCACCTCACTATCTTCCCACAGCTCCCACTTTCACCTTTCATTGTTAGTCCTTACCCCACTCAGACCCCCGACTATGCTGGGTCGCCTCTGTGATTAGCCCTCATTAGACTAGATGCTTCCTGAGGGAAGGGGTCTTATACTATCCATTTTTATATCTCTATTCCCACTGCTGGACCTAATATCCCTTGGACAGTAAATATTTGCAGAATTTACTTAGGTTATTGAATCATGTGAAAATTATTTCAGAAGACACCAAAAAAATTTTAAAATGCCTTTTCTTCTGGTGCCACCCAAGATCCTGAGACTTTTATTTCAGTGATATCAAGTGGTATAGAGATGAACAAACTAACATTACATTCAGTGCATTTTGTGGGTCCTTTATGTATCACATTTTAATCCTGAATTTTTTTCATTTATAGAATAAAAGGATGGGTCCAGCCTGGTGGCCTAGTGGTTAAGTTTGGCATGCTCTGCTTCAGTGACCCAGGTTCGCAGGTTTGGATCCTGGGCATGGACCTACATCACTTCTCAGCCATGGCATGGTGGCAACCCATATACAAAATAGAGGACAATTGGCACAGATGTTAGCTCAGGGTAAATCTTCCTCAAGCAAAAAAGAAAGAGGAAGATTGCCAACAGATGTTAGCTCAGGGTGAATCTTCCTCAGCAAAGGAAAAAAAAAGTTAACTTGTCGTTATGTGAATTTTATCTCAATGCAAATTTGCAAAAAACTCTATAGTGATACAGCCATTAAAATTTACAAGAGGTAATATACAAGAGATAATTCATTTGAAGTGTTTCGCATGGAGCCTGACATATAGTATGTACTCAGTAACTGTTAACCATTGTATTAACTTCAATAGAATATGGAAAAATGAAGACAATTTCACTTTGCATATATTTGAATTGGTGAGATTGTGGATGAATTTTCGCACTTACTATTTCCAGTAGAGCTGTGATAATATTGCTTGTGCAGTAAATACATTTTTTAAGGGTTTAAAAATAAAAGCTTTACAGATTCAGAGGCATCTGTTTTTGAGCCAAAGTTCATGTAAAGAGCTTGCATTGCTGTAGGTACTCAGCTGTAAAGAAAAAGATAACAAAAGAGGACAGATATATTTCAGTGGAAGGATAGGATAGAGAAACCATCCTCCCATCTATTCAGTGTATGCACACAGTCATTTGTTAATAACTCTGTTCATTCTATGCTTTTTGTTTTCTGGTTATCGACATTCATCTTAAATTTGCTCCTGAAGAGCAAAAAGGCATATTGTTAATTTGCTTAATCTAGTGCCCAGCACGACGGCATGGCTAGATAACTATTTCAGTGATAATTAAAGATATTTTTCTTTGCCAATAATTCTTATTTAATCAAGCCAAAATCAATGTGTGTACCAGAGAACTATTCTGGGGCTTTGATTAAAAACCACAGAAGATTTTAATCTCTTCTCTACAAATACCCTAAAACAGAAACAATGCTGTTTTCATAAATCTGAATCAAATCCAATTCAACTATCTCCGGATTAATTTTTATAACTATAAAAAATATGTGCATAAGAACAAAGACTGGATGGGACCTGGAAAATGGGGGACAAAAGAGTGGATATATTGGTGTAAATCATTGTATGTTGACTTTGTCCTTTTATTTGGATTTCCAGAATTATTTCTTGAACAATAATTTTTTATAAACTTAGTGGGGGAAAAATCACCCCGTTTCCTCCAAGATAGGGCTGCTGAACTGGCAGCTGTTGTATGAGACAACATAGGCATGAAGAGATGACATTCTGTGCATCTCCTCTTTTAAGCTTAAATTTTTTAACATGAACTAGAAGAAGAAATCTCTAGCTGAGGTCTTAATTGGTTTCCTCCCTAGTTTCTCCTTTCCCTGTTTTACCAGTGTACTTAGATTTAGCACAAAAACTGGAGAAAGCACAGCCAGCTGTCTAGAAATTGATGAGCTGATCATATGATCCAATTTTTAAAGTTGAGGACACTAAGGCTCAGAGATGTTCATAGCGTCTTGGGCATTAGAAGGGACCTTTGAAGGCATCTGATCCAACCCTCTTACCCCATACCTCTGATCCCACCACTTGACAATGGGAGAGATTTAAGTTATGACCCAAGTTACACACCTTGCAAATGGTAGAGCCAGAACTCAAGCCTGCTCTTCTAACACCATGTTCTTCCCAAGTTGCCTCAGAACTTTCTTGAGATCTTCTAGCCTGTGTGAAGGAAGGCAGCCCAACAATGAGTTCCTGGTAATTTCTGGGGCTACAGAAGTCTAAGTAACAATTTTACCTTTGGGCTTCCTTTTTGGCCCTCCCAAAGCCTCCGTAGAGCTATTCCATTCAGGGAGGTTTTTGATCTTCATCTTCCCTGACTCTGGGAGTGGCCCTACCAGATGGGTCTGACCTGTGTACCCCCGGGTGGGCACTTATTACCAGCAGCCTTTGGCTTTAGAGACCTCTCCACTCTCCTTAATCCAGTCCAAGGTTCTGACTCTGGAAAAAGGTACAGGAGGATTGTGCCCTGTGAAATCCTGACTTCATCTTGGAACCTGGAGAATCTTGCAGTGATTTTTCTTGTCCCGCATCTAATTTTTCCAAACTCACTTGAGACCAAGATAAAGCACACCCATTTACAAGGTGGGTCTCCTGGCTGATGTCTTTCACCAGCCACTTCTTGTACTTGAGGGTCCTGGAATGACGTCTCTGGCCCAGGGTAAATCGCCCAACTGCTTTTCCAGATCTTGGTTGGTATTTATATTCTTCTTCTTTTCAGACCAAAAAGAAATATTGGAGTACAATTTGTGATACTCTGAGAACAAGCTTGATAGAAAGTTTTCATTACTAAATACAGTAACCTATTCATGGTGCTTGTCACCTTTGATTGCTTTTAAGACCTCTTTTGGTGACTCTTTTATCTCTCCCATAAAAAAGCATATCTGGCTAAAGGCTGAAAAATAGCAAGTACATTTCTTTCTAACCACCCTGCATTCATTTGGGGTGGAGATGTTTAGAGGCACAATTAGTCGCTAGCAATATAAACCCTAAGATCGGAACACATGGGGTTCTTTTGCTCCTCAACAGAGTGCTTTTGTAGCTGGTTTTTGAGCACAGACACATCTTTATTTTTACATACAGAGCTTTCTTTGACATACAAGCCAAAAATTTACTTGAACCAACCTAAACAGTATGAGAGAGAATGTCTGTTTTTTAAACACTGAGCATTACAGAGTATCCTTACAGCATAATGTAGGTATGTTCCGTATAGAACAGCTGAACATAGGCAAATTATTAAGCAGGAAGTGAGCACAACTTGCTTGTTAAATTCATGTACAATATTTTGAATCCTTGGTGTTCTTAACCATCCAAGAGTCTCCAAAACTAGCTTTCGACATATAGCTAAATAGGTTGATAATAGAGTTTTCTTTTGTCTTAGCTGCAATTTGAGAAATATTTATGTATATATATTTGTTCCAAAAATAATTTAAAATGGCTGATCAGACACACATTCAATAATGTATGTGTAAAATAAAGAATCAAGGCAAAGATAGAATATGTAAGAAAATAAAATTAAGCTAACGATAAGGTTACTACACAAATGTATCTTGTGAGGTTCATCTGCTTGGTCTACTAGTGGGCATGGGAAGTATACATGAAGTTAAATGAAAACTCTGGTATTGATTATAATTCTCATCTCTTTTTATTGCCCTAGAGTTCTTAACTGTGCCCAAACAACACTAACTTTTCACAAACTAATTATCTGAGTTTATGAATTAGCATATCCAGTGATATCTTCCTTAGATCTTCCTGCCCTTTAGTCATTTTGCTTCCAATTAGCATGTCATCCATCAGAGGTTGATGAAGGAAAAAAAATGTGTGAATCATCCTAGCTCATTTTATTTCTTGGTTTAAAAAAAAGGGGACTGGGAAGGGGGGTGTGTGTGGGGCATGGAGAAGGGCAGTTAGATGTTACTAGAACCATTTGCAAGAGAATAAAGAAGAAATATTTAAAGTTTGTGATTTCTAATTATCAAAATGAACACAATGAAGGAATTCATGTAGACATCTCGTTAAGGCAAGCTTTTAGAGAATGTCTAACATTTCTTGTTATTGAAGATTCCATACACTCACAAAATTATAAGCCTCAATGTCCAAGCTACTCAGGATCAGGAACTTCATAAAAAACCTCTTAATCAGACAAACTTGAACACATCATCATCTAGAAATAAATGAAAAGAGTGCAAAGCATTAAAGAACACAGTTGTTCAACAATAGGTCAAATATATCAAACCAATAGAATCTTCTGTTGCTAATAAATTATAAAAGGTTCATAAACAGAGAAGAGTATTTATCATAAAAAATTATCATAAACAGAATATTTATGATAAAAATATAAGAAAAATGAAAACTGGTATGTAAACTATAAAATATATAAAATATCTAAGGTAGACAAAGAATATAGGTAGTGTATAAAAACATTATAGTTATATTGGGTTGACTAAGATGATGAACTTATTTTCTTTCTCACAGAATTTTTTGGTGTTTTGTCATTATAAATATAATTGAGGAGAAGAAAAGAAATGAAAACAAAGCTTTCACATGAAGAATATTTCTTTACAGATTTACCAAATAGTTTTTATTTTCTGCTTATTAAAATCTGATTTGTTTTTTAAGTCTAAAGTTTACAGACTCATGGCAGATCATCTAAACTGTTCTCCTTTCCATTAAAATGTGCATTTGGGGGATATTTTTCCACAGAAATGATTACAGGCAACTCAATAATGTTCCTCTTTTCTTTATTCCAATTCCTGTTTTTCTTAGGGATTGCCATGGGAGTCTTGATTCGAGAATACAGCAAGTTCTCTAATCTGGAGAAATTCTACTTTGCTTTTCCTGGAGAAATTCTAATGAGGATGCTGAAACTCATCGTTTTGCCATTAATTATATCCAGCATGATTACAGGTACCTTGAGAAAACTGATGTTCTCTGTGATTATTTAAGGAGCCATCACTTAAGTCATTTTCTTCTAATTATGGAAAAAATTAAAATGCGTTTGATGCATCACACACATATGCACTCTCTCCTCACTTGGAAGGTATATATTTGCTTGAGTAGAAATATTTCATTATTCACAAAATGGCATTGTTTTGTGGCATTGCCCTGCTTTTGGCACTGTCCACCACAGCTCAAATCTTCATTTGACCAGCCATATGATGTCTCATGAGGAAGGCACCATTTTCAAATGTATTATAAATAAAGCTCTATCCGGGACACAGAACGGGGGAAAACAAGGTGTAGTTGGTCGCTGAAATGTCAGCCAGTGTTCTCAGGCGAAGTGTGGTTGTCAGTTTGGATCATGTTTTCAGTAGTTCATTCATTTGTTTCCTAACTGCAGCCGTCCTGCCCACTACCCTCTCAGCAGCTCCTTCAGGGTCCCTCTGCCCCGTTGCCTCACCCCTTTCCACTCCTCCACGGAACTCAGAACGTGCTACACACCAGCCCTGGAAATTTGCCCAGGGGACCAAGAGTCACATACTGTGGGAAAGGTTTAATTATAGATTTGCTCCATATTTTAAATGCCTAGTATCTTTAAATCTGAACTTGTGACAGTTATATTTGGAAGTGATTTTTCCCTTATTGATCATTATATTGCTGGGTCCCTTTAAAGAGCAAGCTCCCTTCTGTAGATAGAGATTAATTTGGTTTACAAAACTGTCATTTTTCTGGGTATGGTAAGCTGCTCTGTGCACTCCATAGTTTCCTGTAGTTATCTTAATTCTGGCAATAGGTAAAATGTGGCACATCAGTCACTAGTGTTGTCAGCTTGAAAATCAGGGTTTTATGTAACTGTGTAATTAGGAGTCTTGACTTGTCCTCTTCTAGAGCATTTTTCTCCACTGCCACTGAGGAGACCTGGGACTGATCTCTGTAGACTACTGGACATTGGCTGGGTGACTGGAGGGTGGGTGTCAGGATCTGCTGAATTCAGCGACTGCATTGCTTGAAGAGCCATAGATTCGGCTGTTGAACTTTTCAAGTGCCGAACTCCAACTAGACTAGAATTCCTTGGGAGCCTTGTTCTTCAAAGGTCTTGGTGTTCTTGACTTACTAGAAACCTAAAGAGAGCATTTAATTACTTTTATTTATGTATTTAATTATGTTTTGAAATGCCCAGCTTCTTTTAGGCTCTGCAGCCTGAGGGCCAAATCAGCAGACCAGTTGTTTATTACAGTATATTGTTTGTTTGTTTGTTTTTGTTTTTGGTTTGTTCCAAAGATTGGCACCTGAGCTAACGTCTGTTGCCAATCTTTTTTTCTTCTTCTTCTTCTCCCTAAAGCCCCCCAGTACATAGTTATATATTCTAGGTATAGATCCTTCTGGTTGTGCTGTGTGGGACGCCGCCTCAGCATGGCCTGATGAACGGCGCCATGTCTGCATCCAGGATCCAAACCGGCAAAACCCTGGCTAAAGCAAAACATGCAAACTTAACCACTTGGCCATGGGGCTGGCCCCTATTTATTTGTTTAACTTTAAATTACTGTAAGCATTTAAAATATGGAAGATTATATGTAAGCATCCAGATTTCTAGCTTCCTCTGGAAAAAATTAAGATCAGGAAACACTGGACCCATGTGCCCACACACCAACAGTGGTCTGGAGCTGAGAGACAGCTAATCTGTTTAGTTGGAGCAAATGCATTTGAGGATGCCACGGTCCTCACCATTCCCTATTGCCTAATACCTCATCTGCTGGACTCATTTACATTACCTGCTGGCCTCTGTAGGCATTGCCATTACAACCTCTTAGGATTTTCTCAAAATCAAAGATTCTTAATCTTTTCTTACACTCCTTTGAGAATGTGGTGAAAGTTTTGGGCCCTCTCCCAAGAAAAATATTCACAGTTGTACCTGTATACTGTATCTTGCATGCAGTTGCACAAAGTTTGTAAACCATTTGATGAGCAATACTGTTTAAATCTTTGTCTGTGGAGGAAGGTATGGATAGTTGATGCAAATTAGGTGGCAAACCCAGAACTCGTGCAGTAAACCAGGTTTTAGAAGGTAAAAGTACATGTATGAATATACTAGTTGTATAATATTGGATGTTTGAAAATATATACTGCTCTCGGCAGCCAATTACTAGTGAGGTTTTTGCAGTCTGGCTGTTTTAGGCGCTAGCTCAGCCTTGCAAATCATCTAGAAAAATAATTTGCAGCCCTCACCATTCCACTCACATAGCCCAGCTGCTTTTTGAAGCTGTAGCACAGGTCTGGAAATTTCTACATTTTTCCTTTACCAAACCACCAGCAGTTAAACAGGAGTTAGAGCAGAACTACTATCCATTCTTTTGACATGGAGTGATAAAATGGTCAAAGATTCAAGGGATATGAACAAAGCAGGATGGGAACAATGATGCTGTATTCGTGTTTTAAATTGGCAGATTAAAAGGAAAAGAGTAGGGGCTGGCCCAGTGGCGTAGCTGTTAAGTTTGCACGCTCTGCTTCAGCAGTGTGGGGTTCCCAGATTTGGATCCTGGGTGTGAACCTAGGCACTGCTTATCAAGCCATGCTGTGGCAGGCATCCCAGATATAAAATAGAGGAAGATGAGCACAGATGTTAGCTCAGGGCTAATCTTCCTCAAAAAAAAGAGGAAAAATGTAATAATACTGGTGTTGGCAAAGTTAGAGGAAAATGGGCTCATTCATACATTTTGGTTACTGTATTAATTGGAACAAACTTTATGGGGGGGCAGTTTGGAACATATCCTGATGTTTCCACTTCGTAGTTCTACTTCTCCAAATTTATCATAAAGAAATAGTCAGAAATGTGTTCAAAGATTTAGGTACAAGGACATTCATGATAGTATTTTTTTTTTAATGATTTTTTTAGTTTTTCCTTTTTCTCCCCAAAGCCCCCCAGTATATAGTTGTACATTCTTAGTTGTGGGTCCTTCTAGTTGTTGCATGTGGGACGCCGCCTCAGCGTGGCTTGATGAGCAGTGCCATGTCCGCGCCCAGGATTCGAACCGACGAAACACTGGGCCGCCTACAGCGGAGCGTGCGAACTTAACCACTCGGCCACGGGGCCAGCCCCATGATGATAGTATTTTTTTATAATGGTGATAAATTATAGACAATCTAAATGTATGTCATAAGCATAAGTTAGAGTTCTATGCAACTATTAAAAACCTTGGTTTGGAAACATATATAATGACAAGTGGAATGTTCCTAATACAGTGTAAAGTAGGAGGATAAAAGAAATTACACAACAGGATATTGCGTACAACCCACATTTTATTAAAATTTATGTACATTTTTAAAAGTTGGGATCAAAATCAAATGGTTAACAGTGGTTAGATCTGGATAGTAAGAAGATGTGATTCATTGCACTTTCTTTACCTTTACAAGGTAAACACGTTATTTTTGTTTGTTTTGTTTTTTCTTCTCTTTTTTAAGAGTGGATTTTAATTTTTTTTCCTTAAAGATTGGCACCTGAGCTAAGAACTGTTGCCAATCTTCTTCCTTTTTTTTTTTCTGCTTTTTCTCCCCAAATCCCCCAAGTACATAGTTGTATATTTTAGTTGTGGATCCTTCTAGTTGTGGTATATGGGACACCGCCTCAGCATGGCCTAATGAGCAGTGCCATGTCTGCGCCCAGGATCCCAACCAGCGAAACCTTGGGCCGCCGAAACGGAGCACGCGAACTTGACCACTCGGCCACGGGGCCGGCCCCAAGAATGGATTTTAATTTTAAAGGATGGATTCTGCCCTGTGCTCCTCCGACCTCGCCTCTGGTAGTTTCCCTGCTCCCCTCCTCCCCACCTCTCCTCCCTGTCTCTGCAGCCTTCAGCCTGCTGTGCATTCCTTCCCCCAAGCCCTGCAGTGGTCCTCAGCCTCCCAACCCAGCACAGGCCGGGAGGGGAAAGAGGAAGAAGACCACGGAAAATACACGGGAAGAACAGTTTTAACATTTCAAAAGCCTTAATAATCCAGCATATCAGTAGTTTATTTTATACATGTATTAGGCCAAAGGATAACGCGTATTAGAAGCTGGGAAAAGTTGAATGAGTCCCCTAAGGAAACATAAATTAGAGGTAGAGACACAGCGAAAATTGAGACATAAGGCTAATAATCTGTGCTTCTGCATGAAGGAAACTCTCTTGCCAAATTAACAGGTAGGAAAAAAAGAAACCTCTGCCTTCAAAGCCTCTGCTGGCATAGAAATACTTACTTTTTAGTTGTTTTTTTAAAAAATAGGAAGACTCCCCCTTCATGTGATGATGAAGTTAAGACGTGTTTGTCAGGGAAATTTGAATATAGACTGGCCATTAGATGGTATCCAGAAATTGTTGATAATTTTTTAGAAGTGATAATGACATATATAAGAAAATATCCTTATTTTTAAAAAGTGCGTATGGAATTATATAGGAGTGAAATGACATAATGTCTGGAATTTGCTTTAAAACAGAAACAAAAAGAGAAGGCATGGCAGATATAATCTCAAGGCATTTCCAGAGACAGGCGGTTTAGGCGCTAACAGACAGAATCCTACCCATAATTTATATCCTGAGGGACACACTCGCGCTGTGCCGCAGAATATCTGTGCTCCGGCCCTGTTAACATTTAGGTTTGTTAAGCTGCATTTATATCAGACCACCAGGGAACTAGCAGGGGAAATGACTTACGAACATGCCTGAGAATTGTGGCTCTGGAAAATCCTGGTCCAGGTCTCACCAGTCAGTGAGTTTAGATTTGGGTCACATTTTCTTTAATACCCAAATTAAGATGGCTTGAGCCTCCTATGACCAGCACAGGAATGGAACATCACCTTGACTGCTACTCCTAGAGGTTCCCTAAGCATCTTTTGAGGGTGCTGTCTTAGTTGTGCTCAGGAAGAGGTCCCCATCTCTTCCACTCCAGCCTCTCTGCCACGACTGCCTGGGCCAGAAGTGCTCCACCGGGTA